AATTCCTGCTGTGAACAAGTAATTATTGCAGTAAAACTAATTAGAAAATGTAGGTAGTCATGGTGAACCTACACCGAGTACATGATTTAAAAATTCTTCCACTTTGTTGTTGTTGACATTAGAGTCAGAAGGGATTTTTGAAATAGTGTCTGTGAAGATTCTCAGTCATCCAGGTCATGGTTATTCTGGTAGATTAATTGTAGCAGCTGGACTTGCTTGAGTTCCTTGAAGACGTTCCACCTTCATCCAAGAGGCTTCATCAGTTCTGACTGACTAATTGGGAGATCCAGATACTGTATCCTTAAGGAGCCATTAACCCCTGAGTTTCAGTTTCAACAGAGGGTTGTTACTCCTCTCCTTCGTTACGTGAGTCATTAGTGCTCCCCCTGCCACAAAGGTGTTCGAACCCCTTTGTGGGGGAGGAGCAACAAACCCCCAATTGAAATCGAAACCCAGGTGTTAATGGCTCCTTTAGGATATGAGTATCTGGAACTCCCAACTAGTCAGTCAGACCTGATGAAGCCTCTTGGATGAAGGTGGAACGTCTTCAAGGAACTCAAGCAAGTCCAGCTGCTATGAAGTTGGAAATCTCATTTTATGGCTCCATAAATCAAAAAATTGTCTTAACAACCAGAATATATTTTTTTTTTCTATGTTTGAAGGAATAAAATGTTCTACAAATCAGGCTGTGAATGATATATGAACCAAACCCTCTGTGAGAAAGAATGAAACTGGAAAAATAAAAGTTTGTAAGTGATAATAAAACGGAGATTTCTGGCTTTAGATCCACTTTCTCATTTTTTCTGTCATTGAAACTTGAGGCTGTTTGAACGATGACAACTCAGGAACTACTAAAGATAAAAACCTGAAATGTTCACTTTTATTTCTGATCATGTTGTTGATTCTGAATCTGTAATATCGGACGAGTAGATCAAATGATTATTGATTATGGTTGAATTGAAATATGACAAAAATGACGTCATGAGAAATCTCATCTCTGAGCAACATAAAGAAAGAAAGTTTAAAATGCAGAACTTGTGATAGTGTCTGAACCACATGTAGCTGCAGGTCACCATAATACGAAACTAAAAACAGGAAAAACATTAAAAAGAAAAAACGGGGCAAAAAAAAGAAAAAAAAAGTAATTTTTATAACCCATTGAGCAGATTTAACACAAAGTTAATAATAGTTCTGATTTATTTCCTCCAAATATACAAAAAAAAGATAAATCAAGCTTAAGTTTCACCAAAAAAAAACTTTAAGAATTCCTATTTTATGCTATTAAGAAATAAGGTGAATGAGAGATCAGAACTTGTTCTAAAAATCTGATTATTTGAGATCAAATGAAGGGTAAACATTAGTTTGGACACTTATTCACTTCTTTAAAACAGGCTCTAGTTTCCAATTTGAATTGTGCTTTAGAGTCCCACATCACCAAATAAATTAGTCATTAATTAAATTACTGCAAGCCTCAAGGGTCCTTTTCCTTCACTTAATTAATAATTCGTCTTCATCAGTCGGCACCGATTCTCTGCTCTAATAAAACTATTATTCTCATCAGAAAAACTCATTTTATTTGTTGAACTTTTTTCCCTTCAGTCTTTTCAGCTGCTCACATCGTCAGGACTCAGAATCCTGGCAGGTGGATCTCAGGTGGAAAATACGACAAGAATGGTCCTGAACTGACCTGAAACTTGATGAAAATGACTCCAAATTATCAGAAGTGACAATAATGAATACTTAATGGCTCGTGAAAATGGGGGGGAAATGCAGTGTTTTCCCAACAACCTGTCAGTGTGTATATATATATACATATATATATATGGCATGCCATTTAGGAA